TGTGTTGTGATTCAAGAGTATTTGTGAAGTCCAGCCACGAATTCACCTAAAAAGATCCACTAGCTATATATTGGAGTGTGAAAAACTATTATAATTTTTTTTGAACATTTCAGCGATTTTTAGCAAAAAAATGTGTGCTTTAATGTACAATTTTTTGTGATTTTGCTCGACTATTAAAAAAATTAGTGAAATAATCAGTAGATGAACATTTATGTACTACTTATGAATAAATATCTTCTATACATTATATTTAAGTTTTAGAAAATGCTGAAAATAGATATGACAATTTCAGGTATTTTTAATAAAAGGGTATGCTATATAGTATACGTTTTTTTCGTCATTTTTCTTCACTATTGAAAAATAGTTCGCCAAATTTTAGATGAACTAGTTCTTGAGTACTTATGGATAAACATCTTTTATACTATATATCTGAGTGTTTCAAAAATATTAAAAATGTATTTGAACATTTCAACGATTTTAGCAAAAAAACGTGTGGTATATAGGTATACGGTTTTTTTAAAATGTAGATGGACAAATTATTTCCTACTTATGAAAAAAATCTTCTATACTGAATATTTGAGTGTTAAAAAACATTAAAAAAATATTTAACAATCTTACTATAGTATACGATTTTTTGCGATTTTGCTTGACTATTCAGAAACTAGTTAAATAATTTAGATGAACTATTTCTTGAATACTTATGATAAATATCTTCAACACTATATATTTGAGTGTTCAAAAATATTTAAAAAAGATACGAACATTTCGATTTTTAGAAAAAAAATGTTTGCTACAGTTTACGATTTTTCATGATTTTTCTTGACTATTAAAAAATTAGTGATTATTTTTTAGATGAACGATTTATTTACTAATCATGAATATACATCTTCTATACTCTATATTTGAGTGTTTAAAAATATTAATTTTGTTTTGACAATTTGAGGGATTTCTAGTAAAAAACGTGTGCTATAGTGTACAATTTTTTTGTGATTTTGATTGAGTATTCAAAAATTAGTGAAACAATATTTAGATGAACTATTTCTTGACTACTCATAGTTAAACATCTTCTATACTATATATCTTCGTGTTCAAAATTTTTTTAAAAATATTTGAACTTCTCAATGATTTTTAGCAAAAAACATGTGCTATGTATAGTATACGGCTTCTTGTGATTTTACTTGACTATTAAAAAGTTAGTGGAAATATTCATAGATGAGCAATTTATTTACTAATTATGAATAAACATCTTTTATACGGAATACTGGAGTGTTGAAAAATATTAAAAAAGATTTGACGATTTCAGGGATTTTTAGCAAAAAATCGTGTGCTATAGTATACGATTTTTGGTGATTGTGTTTGACTTATTAAAAAACCAGTGAAACAATTTTTAGATTAACTATTTCCTGACGAATAATCATCTTCTGTACTATATAATTGAGTTTTAAAAAATATAAAAAATATATTTGAAGCTATTTTTAAGTTTTAACAGAATTCGAGTGCTATAGTATACAAATATTTATGACTTTGCTTGTCTACTAAAAAAATAGTGAAACAAGTTTGAGATGATTTGTTTTTGACAATTTATGAATAACCAGCCATTCCATTTTTTTCTATTGTGTCCTCCAGTTTCTAATACAGTGGAACTTTTTTCTCTTTATGACCGTTGAATATATTCATTGATAGGAATTAGCCGATCATACTGTTGATGTGAGTGTGCAACATGAAGTACTTGACGGGATGTTCACGTTTTATGATTCAACAAGCAGCAGACTACATATCTATCAGGTGCCTATTATTAGACTTTATCTCTTTGTTTATTCCCCGATATCAGGAAGTAAGGTGAGCACATATAACCCAATTCGCGGTTTTTCTATTGAAGGTTGCAAGTGTAACGTTCGACTTGCTTTTGCTGCTGGTTCTTGGATCGTACCTTATTACCCTCTTCAGTTTCTTGGTTATAACAACAAGGGTATGACTTCCGTTCTTTAGCCAGCCTCATATTTGCCTCCCCTTTTACCTCTTCAATATCTGGGAATAATATACCGGTTCTATTTATGTATCTTTTTACCCGATAAAAATATTCTACTACATGATATGACTATAGTATCAATTCAACTTAGTTAATCTTATATTTTAGCTCTCAACATTATTATATATTTCAACAGGGTCTTGATGATTTGATCAGTCTATTTCGTCGTCCGACTTCTCCCCGTAAATCGAAAACAGTTTGATTAGGGGAACTGGATATTTTCGCAACTGACTCAGAAGTTCAGTTTCAGAGTTTGATCTTTTGTTAATGCAGCATATATTTTGGACGAGATCTGCCGGCGTCTTCAAGTAAAATTTTAGCATTTTTCACATGTTTCATTCCCTCGTTCGATTTGCTCTAGAGATAAAATTAGTTGGTAGAAATTTTTTGTTTAGATTGTTTCGGGTTGTAATGTTAACGATGCTAGTCGGAGATTTTAATGATACAAGAACAAATAAACATAACACAAACAAAAAATCATGCACACACAATAAACCAAGATAAAAATTTCATGCCTCTCAACATAGAAAATACTTGGTTGACGCTCAAATTCAAACTTGTTCTGGTTGAGTGTGCAAGATCAAATATGATACAAACACAAACAACCAATATCAAATGTTACTATAGAACACATTGTTTGGGGTAAAAAATCGTTGAATTGTCGAAATTTTAAAATTTTCTAAACTCAAATATATTGTTGTATAGGAGATTTTGAATAGTCGTTCGAAAATTATATACTATAATTTTTTTTTAATGTGTGTTTTCGGTGCAGTGTATATTTTTTTAAGTGTGTTTTTGGTGTCGTGTGTGTATTTTCTTTAGTGTGTGTTTTCGGTGTCGTGTGTGTATTTTTTTAGTGTGTGTTTTCGGTGTACTGTTAGTGTATGTTTAGTATGTGTTTTCGGTGTTGTGTGTATATTTTTTAAGTGTTCGTTTTCGGTGTCGTGTGTGTTTTCGGTGTAGTGCGTGTATTTTTTAGTGTATGTTTTCGGTGTAGTGTGTATGTTTTCTAAGTGTGTGTTTTCGGTGTCGTGTGTGTATTTTTTTAGTGGGGTGTTATCGGTGTAGTGTGTGTATTTTTTTAGTGTGTGTTTTCGGTGCAGGGTGTGTATATTTTCTAAGGTGTGTGTTTTCGGTGGAGTGTGTGTGTATTTCTTTAGTGTGTGTTTTCGATGTCGTGTGTGTATTTTTCTTTAGTGTGTGTTTTGCGGTCTAGT